GCGTTTTCACAATGTCCAATAGATAATAAATACTAGTGTTTTCACAATGTCCAATAGATAATAAATACTAGTGTTGTCACAATTTCCAATAGATAATAAATACTAGTGGCCGTTTTTATTGACTTTTTTATTTACAATTCTACGGTAAACTATGTTATCATTACGTGGAGCACGAGTTTGCCGTGTGGTAGAGTGATATTTCTCCATATACGGGCACGGTTTGGTTTCTGTGGTAGAACCGTATTTCTCTCTATATAAAATACGCTGGTTGGCCGTGTGGTAGAGTGATATTTCTCTATGTACGGGCACGGTTTGGTTTCTGTGGTACAACTGTATTTCTCTCTATATAAAATACGCTGGTTAGTCGTGTGGTAGAGTGGTATTTCTCCATATACCTGGCGAGTCAGGTTAGAATCATTGCGATACCACAAACTATTCTCCACACTATAAGCTGTAGGTGCGTTATAAGAGTGACAGTCAAATCCTTAACATGGACGGTGGGTTTTAGGGTACAGCCGATTGACTGCTTTGCCATAGATACAGAATGCAAATACTTGGTCTTAACCCTTGTCTTTTAAATTAGAATAATCCCTATATATACATGACGAAGATCAGAAGTGGTTATTATCCAGTATCGTTACTACCAAGGAAATGCTATAACATTTCTAACTCCCATTCACTGTTATGTTTGTAGGCGTTGGATGGTTGTAATTTCTTTCTTTCAGTTTCTAATCATCGGGTCATTACCGAAGATTGAAACACGAGTTAAGGAGCCTGTTACCTCGAGGATATAATCGTTATGTTTTCTTATAATATGTTGGATACAGAATAAGATATACGCTTCAGAATGTGTTTGTAATTTCCTACGCGTGTACGTACGGAGTGCAAGGGAAGTTATAACTGTTTTAGTAAGACGAACACATTACATTTGTTATATTTTGACACTTCTATTTTTGTATCACTTGAAGCTATTAAACGGTAATTTAACATACGGGAAGAACGGAAAGAGAAACTGACAATCAAAGAAAAAGAAATATTACTTATATCTGTCAAATATACGGCGTTAAAATCCGGTGTTCGATTCCTGTCAGTAGACAGAGTGCAGATAGCGCATTCTTTAACTTTGCGCTAAAACAAACAAACTAATATAACATCCTAAGAAATTAGTCAATCTCAAAAGATGAGAAATAAGTAGATTCACAAAAATAGGAGAGAAAAATAAACTGTGAACATATGTCAGTGATCATTCCATACTTAACTGTGAACATATGTCAGTGATCATTCCATATTTAACTGTGAACATAGGTCAGTGACCATTCCATATTTAACTGTGAACATAGGTCAGTGATCATTCCATATTTAACTGTGAACATAGGTCAGTGATCATTCCATACTTAACTGTGAACATATGTCAGTGATCATTCTATACTTAACTGTGAACATATGTCAGTGATCATTCCATATTTAACTGTGAACATATGTCAGTGATCATTCCATATTTAACTGTGAACATATGTCAGTGATCATTCCATATTTAACTGTGAACA